ACGTTCTTCTGTGTAACCATACATAACACTCTTCTGTGTAACTGTACATAACACTCTTCTGTGTAACTGTAATTAACACTCTTCTGTGTAACTGTACATAGCATTCTTCTGTGTAACTGTACGTACATAACACTCTTCTGTGTAACTGCACATATCCTTCTACTGTGTAACTGCACATAGTATATTACTGTGTAACTGTACATAGCGTTCTCCTGTGTAACTGTACATAACATTCTTCTGTGTAACTGTACATAGCGTTCTACTGTGTAACTGTACAAAGTATATTACTGTGTAACTGTACATAGCCTTCTACTGTGTAACTGTACATAGCATTCTACTGTGTGACTGTACATAGCATATTACTGTGTGACTGTACCTAGCATTCCATTGTGTAACTGTAGATAACGCACTTCAGTTAAATAGTGCCTGACACTCCGTAAATAGTGAACTTGCATATTGAGTACACGTGTAGTCAGGGAACTCACCAACTGAGTTACCTCACAAGAGGTGCTTCATTGGTCAATATGATAAAACAGTGTGCTGCAAGCAATCATCTGAACAAACAAAAAGGGTGGGATGAGTATAAGTGGTAACACTGCCAGCTGTGCCTGTTACCCTTAAGGGGTTATGCACAGCTCTATATAGCAAGCCTGTGATCTATACCATCCACTATGGTCCCCAGTAGCCTAACCTGCCAGCCACATGGGGCACAAAGCCAGGACAGCCTGAGGGTGCAATGCGCCCAAGTCATAGCTGATTCCCAGTCAAAGCTATAGCACATGTGCCTGCCATCGACGGAACTCATGCGGTAAGTCTGGAAACTGGCCGGCCCCGGCCCCACAGAACCATGCGGTTGCGGGGAAGTGGATGCTCTGGGCCGCCGCACTGCATGGGGAGGTAACCCCCCCACCCATGCCGCGGGAGCAGTTATACTGCGAGCAGAAGCGTGGGTCGGGTGGGAGGTGGAAGCAGAGGATCTCGTTCGGCGGACAGAGCCGGCGGGCGGGATTCAACACGTGGGATCCAACACGTGGGACCACCAGAGTCTTACTCCGGGGTCCCGGCGGTCGGCAACGGAAAGCGGTCGCAAACGGACGAAAAGTGAAGGGGGCAAAGCCACCCGGAAAAGGTAGAGGGAGGGAGGGAAAAGGGAAACCCCCCAAACCCAAGAAAAAAATGATCCCCAGACAGGGGGGCCCAAAACAGGAAAATGCAGAAAAGTCATAAGAGAAAATACATCCCTACAGCAACAAAGTAGGGACAGAAAAATACAATCTAAATAAATAAAACATAATGGCAGTAGGAAGGTAAACACATTCTAAACAAATAAATCCCTGCAGCCATAGGAAGGTAGATGCAGAAAAACAGAGTAAATCAATCAATCAATCAATCCCTACAGCACTAAGCAGGTAGGTGAAGAAAATACAGTGTAGCTAAATAAATCAATCACTACAGCACTAGGTAGGTAGATGCAAAAATACCCTCTAAACAAATAAATCAATACAGTAATAAACATATAAATACAGTAAAATATCCACAACCACCTATATATAACAGGAGACAGTGGTACTCTGACCTGTACTGACTGCGGAGCAGCAAAGAAAGAGGAAGTAGTTAGTTGGGAGAAGCCTTTTATAGATTCCTGATTTTTTTTTGTCTCTGGTGTTTTTATATCTATGTTAATGTGCTGCTGTGGAGTTCTAGTAGAGAGAGACTTAAGAAAATATGAAGCCTCCTGTCATGCTATAAAATTGGTTTTGCACAGTGGCTTTAAGCTAAGACAAATAAAGGGGTTTATACCAACATAAACATGCTTAAGTCATCAATGCTTAAATTCTTCTTTCTACAAGACTTGGGGATTTGTTTCACGATGACCTGAATTCTAGATTACCAAACCGCATATATCACTAAACAAATGACTTGACAATTAATCAGCAAGTTTGATTTTTGATTCCACCTGAAGCAAAAAAAAAAGAAAAAGAGAGAAATCTGAAAAAAATATATCGTAAATGTTGATATTCACAGATCAAGTGAGAATTGATCAATAAAGCGAATGAGGAACAATAAAAAAAAATCTATATTTAAGTATACATAATTATAGATTGGTTACTGCTCATTTTAAATACACACATTCGCCTATATTTGCACCCTTTTGGTTTGTCTGTTTTCCCAAAACCTTTTCAGTGGTCCAAATTGTGACAGGTTGAACAACCACGACCCTACTTAACGCCAGATGTGACTAAGGTGCTGGTCCATTTCACTGTCCTTTCTCGCCTTGACTACTGTGATCCACTTCTCAGTAGTCTTACGTGCTCCCAACTTGTGCCATAACAGTCCATAATGAATGCGGCGGCGAGGCTCATCTTCCTTTCTGCCCACATCTCCTATACCTCACCATTCTGTCAGTACCTATATTGGCTTCCTGTAAGATATAGGGTTCAATTTAAAATTCTGGTTCTCGCTTTCAAATCTCTACATAATGCTGCTTCCACCTATCTATCCTCCCTAATTCACAAGTATGTCCCGTCTAGGCCTTTATGCTCTGCTGAAGACTTACGTTTATCTTCTATCCGTACTCCCACCTCTGATGCTTACCTTCAAGACTCCTCAAGGGCTGCACTTTCCTGTGGAACTCACTTCTGAGTTAGATACTGATACTGATTAGATGACAACTAGCACCATGTGCAATACATAATAAGGAAGTGTGAGTTATTGCGCTTTTAAATGAGGCTTCATTTGTTGCACTAAGTGGCAGGAGATTGCCACCACATTGATAATCACTTTTTTTTGCTTAGGTGGCATGGGGCAATTATGGACCTATTTTTTTTTTTATCCTACGGCCAATCTAAAGGGATAAAGTGTCCCTCATTTTAAAGAACACACTCCTTCCCCTCCTCCAGAATGCAGGTGATCGCAGTTATAAGTGGTGATCACCTACCTCACCCTTCATCAGGACATTATTTTATGGACTGCTATGGGGTTTTCTAGGGCTGCAGGTTCCCCTTCCTTAAATGGGCCTCAAAAGACCCTTGAGACCCTTCACTCAGAAAAGAGGGCTAACTATTTTGAATGAGGGTTGATATGCCCCTTTAACAACACTAGGACATATCAGTACATCCTAACAATACTAGACTTTAATTCTCTTAATATATATATTTGCATACATGCACTTTTGTGTGAGCAGGGTTAAATCCCTGCTCAGGTTAGGGAATCCCAGGTATGAATGGATAACTGGGGCTCCCCTCTGTTAGCTGGGGACACCTTTTAGTGATCCCAGGCTGACCGATGCTATCCCACAGACAGCAATGCAGTGTAAGCAGGGTTAAGTCCATGCTCAAACCAGGAGACCCAGGTATCCCTGCATGTCACCAAGCTGATTGTGTACCTTTAGGTAACAAGTGGTTACCAAATGATTTTAAAATCACCTGTTGACTTGGGGACTTTTATGGTGCTCAATAACAATGGCAGTTATGATCACCCAATGCCAACATATGTACAAGATGATAACAAAAGAATGGGTGTTGGGGTAGACTCCTGTTGCCCTGCTAATTACAGAGATGAGTATAATATCTTTTAATAGAAAACAGACATTTTCTTCTTTTAAATTAGTGGTATTGTATCTCTACAAGATAATTATTAATGCAGTATATGTTTATATAATATTTATTTGTATTGTTTTATTTTTATACTGGTAAACTAGTAAGGGATAGAGTAATTCATATTTCATTAAATTAAGCTATGCCACGCACTGTACAGCCATAATTATGTGTGGTTTGAAACACAGGTTATATTTTTATGGTTAGATATTGCAAATATTACAAGATGCTAAAATGTTACAATTTTCAATTGCTATGTTTTATTGAAAAACTTTAAAATTTGTACTTTTTGTGGACATTAAATATGAGATAATGTGTATATTTGAACTATTTAGAAAAATACAAACACACACACACATATATATATATATATATATATATATATATATATATATATATATATTTGCTAACCATTTAGATATTTAATTTTTTTTTTAGATATTTAAAAGTTTAGGATCTGCTGAAAAAGATCTGCTGACAAAAACACTAATATTGGTGTTTAAATGTAATGAGTGCAAAAGCCTAAATGTTGGCTTCGG